GCGCGTGGTCACAGCCCGGGAAAGGAAGAGGCGGAGCCGGGCAGGCGGCTTCAGGCGCTGAGAGCGGCGCGACGGACAGAAAGAAGGAAGGCGAGGGAACGAGGGAGAGGCGCGATGTAGCCCAGAACTGAGACTTAGCAGGGCTGTTGTGCGTTGATGGGCAGCGGTGTGCTGCATTTCCCCGCAAGGTATCTGTAAAAGCTGTGTTGGCGTGAAGGAAAAAAATTGGGTAAGTTGCACAAATACACCGGGGATGATCGAGGAGATCCTGAGATTATATGATCAAGAATGCAAAGATTCTTCTGTTCGGTGTGTTAATCTATTGCTTGTACGTAGCAGTTTTAATTTCTAAGTTACTTGTTTGTTTCCTGTCGTTTTGAATTTAGTTTTATTACGAGTTATAAAAATGTTTCATTAATTATTGCTCAAGTAGAACAAGTGATTTGTGTGTGGTGTTGTTTGTGCTTTTATTGGTATGTATTTATTTCTATTTCTATAACGCTTATCCTTCCAGCACAAGCCAAGCTGTAAGAAATGTAAAAAATACAGACGTTTAAAAATATCAATTCAGAAAGTAAACACAAAAAGCATTTTACAAAACAGAACGTTAACAAGTAATCTAAAAGATTTGTTATTATACTTGCTGTATTATCCAATTATTTTCCAAAATATATGATTATTTTTAAAAACGATTTGGAAATGGCTTTTTTTTAAAAACGTAGTATTGCTACTGAAATGTAGCATCTCAAACGGAAACGGTTAAAAGCCCAGTTATTTTTCTCAGCTAGCTATAATGACTTTTTTTCTTCTTTGTCCTTTTGCTGGAATTATTCTGGGAAGGCTTCTGACTGAATCACCCAATTCGTATATTTCGTTTTGTTCTTTTTTTCAAAAAAATTTTTTTTATTATTTTCAACATAAGAAAAAAGCAAACACAAATACATCACAATTGGAAAACCCCCTCCCCACCCCCCACCCGGACTTCCCAAACCTAATCCCAGGATACTATTCATCTAAAAGTAACCTTCTATTAATATCCCTAACTCCACAAAGTATAATTCTACATAAATAGGTGAAATATAAGTATATATATAAAAAGAAGAAAAAAAAAATTTTTTTATCTAAAAACCTAACCTATATTCCACCATTCTATGCTTATTTTGAATATAAACAATCCATCTTCTCCATATTGATAAAAATTGTTCATTTGAATGATCCTTCAAATAAGCCGAGATCTTTGCCATTTCAGCAAGATGCGAAACCTTCACTCTCCAGTCCTCTATTGTAGGTAAAACTTGACT